AGACATTCAGGCCGTTCGCTGGTATGATTTGTTCAGACCAACCGGCTGGTTGTCTCATAGATCACTATACATTTTCCAGCCACTTCTAGCCGCTACAGTGTTTTTCCCTCACAACAACCAGTCAGTTTCAGTCAAGTTTCAGGCCAGTGAACAGGGCCATTGGCATTACTTGTTCGCAGCAAATCCGAAGCGTTTCTTTTTGGATGCGACATCAAAGTTCACTGCATGGTGCTACGCTGGCTCCTTCCCGTTGGTTTATTTCAGGGTGGCAACGAAACAGGATTGCATGCATGCATAGTTATGGCGTATATATCGTAGGGACAGATATAAAGACAAGTCATATAACCCACAGATAGGGAATTTATCTCTAAGCTGTTTATTGTTTTGTATGTAGCTAGAATTAACTATAAATAAATTTTTATATACCATTATGTGGCTATTTGATAGAAAATATATCATGAATAAATAAGAGCAACATGATTACATTATTTTTTAAAACCATAACGTTGCCATATGTGCTCGATTAGATCCTTATTAAGTTGCCTATGAAGTGCCTCTGTGAAGGTAGGATCAAGTTGTCACTTGTACACATTTCAGGTGGGAGCACTATCGTCACACTTGCATTCTCATTCAAATCCAAGATTTCTCTAATTGAATCTTTCGCATCTTCCACTATCATATTGTGAAGGATAACACAAGCTTGCATTATATTGATAACATAATGAAAGTTCTGTGGCTGATTACCGAAGTAGCTCATGAAACCACCATGTGGACGTAGGTCTTTATTAGGGCTGGACAAAATACTCAAGGCTCGCCAACTCGCTCGACTCGTGGCCAGCTCAGCTCGACTCGACTCGGCTCGTTTTAACTTTTTTTACGAGTTGAGCTAAAAGTCTAGCCCGCTATTTTAACGAGTCAGCTCGAGAGCTGCTCACGAGCTGAAACGAGATGAGGCCTATCAGCCCATGACCATAAATCCAGAAGATTATGATGCTGACCTAGAAGTGTACACCTATTCTATTGATATGTAGTCCTTATTTTCAGCTGTTTCATATGAATTTTAATTTTATAATTGTTGTGGTAGTTAAATGTTGATTTTATGGATTGTTTTCCAGGGAGAAGATAATGATGCTGACATTGAATCTGTGGACTTTTTTAAGTTTGTGGTGGCAAGCAACTAGTTAGTATGATGGAACTGCAAGATCATGGATGGACCAACTATGTTGCATGATTGATACTTTTGATAAACGTAATATGTATTAATCATGTATGATTGCATAATGGTGGACGTCACCTTCTGAAATTAATGTAACATAAATATTATAAACATGTGTGTCCTATTTTTTTAATAGCTCGCGAATTAAACGAGCCAGCTCGAGCTCGGTAACGAGCCGAGCCAAACTACCCCTCTAGCTCGTAATATTAACGAACCGAGTTGAGTTGGCTCGTTAGCCTAACGAGCCTACTCGAACTGGACCGAGCTGAGCCAAGCCGAGCTGGCTCGATATTCAGCCCTAGTCTTTATCCCTGCAGCACATAGGTAGTATTAACACCACGCAGTTTTCAGAATGACTGACAGTAGTAGGAGCAAACATAGATAGTGACTGAAATTACTGTAAATCAAGGAATACATGCTGAATATTTTTTTTTTGACAGGGCAAACACACGTCAGCTAAAAGCTTCTATTACTAGTAATTGAAACTAAAGTAATTTACTACAGGAAGGACAAAATCATTTGCAAACTAATGATTTAGTAGCTCTGTATAACAAAAGTAATTCATCTAAGGACTTTCCTGTCCATGGTATAACCAAAAAAAGGAACTAACTTTGCAAGAGATTGCTAACACAAAGAGACTGAAAAGCCCTAGTTCCATCATCAGATTCTGCTTTCATCAGGGAGGTGAAAGATAATCACCAGAAGCAAACACACATGAGCAATTCTGCTTTCAGAGAAAAATTCAGACTTGGCATATTACTATCAGGTATATTACTACCATTGTGATTACAGACTTAGCATTATTTGCATGAGCTGCATACATTTCTAGCACACAAAACCTGCATCTTCCACTGCATATTAAAGCTAGGATATTCTTCAACGATTCTTCTACTACATCTTAAACAGGTTTGTAAATTGAAATAATCCCAAACTATAGTCACAGATCTACAAGTTTTGAGTGATTACCATGATGCATCCCAAGCTGTTGAACGCCCAAATCCAGGAGAAGAGGGATCACCGCCGACCGCATCCCACAAAGCTGGAGACGGTGAAGGGGGGAACGGAAACACATCCATGGACGACGAAGAGCTGGGGAAGGCACCTACACTGGATCCATCGATGGAGGATGGCGCCGTCGCCGTGCCCTTGCCGAGACCACTGATGGTTGGGCGGGTCGCGGTCGCTGTTGAGCCGCCTCCACGTCCGAGAGAGCGGGTCGTTGGCGCTGAGCCCCCACCACGACCGAGGGAGAGAGCCGCCGGCGCCGAGCCACCACCGTGACCGAGGGTATGGGCTAGGGCCGCCGCCGCCGCTGCATCCAAAGCCGACGGTGTCGAGCCCTTCTTTTTCCTAGCTGCAGCTGACGTCGACATCTTGGGCGAACCCAAATCGAAGACGAGAGTGCGAGATGGAGATGGAGATGGAGATGGATTTGGGGGAAGTGAGGATGTGGGGATATATGAAGGTGGAGATGGATTTGGCGCGGAAAAACCCCGTGCGCGCCAAATCGATTGCTGCTGCGCGCGTAGCTGCTGCCCGCGCGAGATCCGAGCGCGCCGTCGCCTCTAGGAGACGAGCCTGTACAACGGAGCCGCAGTCGTCTGTTCTACATTGGAGCACGGGGCGACGATGCGCCCGTCTCTCGGCTAAGAGCATGGCTAATAAGCCAGCCCGCTGCCGGCTAAACGAAACTGGGCGCTTCCAACGATAGGGAGCAGTCAGCTCATGAATAGATCGGCTAATAGGTAGATTATAATAATAATTCAAATATTTAATGGCTGTATATACGGGCCCTCAGCTGCATGCATGGCCCCGTGAAAAACGTCGGCTCTGCGCACGCTGATGGCTGAAAGCATACGATTACCTCCTCGATTCGTGCGTGCAGCCCAGCGTTTTACTAACCGCTCCATTCTCTCTCTTCTATTCTCACTCCTTCATCTCAGATTCTGTTGACGTGGAACTCCATTTAGCCTGTAGACTGTACCTTATTATACTTGCTCTAAGCTAGGGGTGTTTGTGAAAAAGGCCATCACGGAGACGAGAAAAAGACGCCCGTTGTACGTGCTTAGTGTCGTTAATCCTCCACCTCGCTTTGTGAGATTTATTGGTATCCGTAAACTGGCCTCCACGCCTAACAAATGATAATGGAGGGAGTAACAAACCACAATCACCGGACCAGAAACAGGTCTAGGATTCAGAGAGACGGATAATCGGGCGGTGCTAGTGTCCGACCTAGGTGGCAGGAAGGAACTTGTTGACCAAAAATATTTTCATTCCCACGCAGCGTAGAAGTGGGCTGCGCTCACCACCATTGCATGCAGCAGCCCAGGCCCACATAGGAATACGGTACCACAACAGAGCGTTGCCCTGTGTGGACACTGCATGCATGGTAACAAGTCTACAGACGTGCTGATGTCATATTTTTTAAGAACTAAAAAAAGTATAGCTCCTCAACCGTGCATCCAAATAAAATTATAATTGATTGCACTATTGTGTTTAATAGAATGAGTTCTTTAAAACAAGATCTCAAGTGGATATATTTAGATAAATTTTTACTAACGAACATTTATTTCATCAAGATAGAACATTATTTTTTTACGAGTACGGTGATGTTCCGTGTTTCAAAAACAATGTTCCGTCTTCATAAGCAAAATGCTCTACGTTCAGGAGAACAATATTTTAGATTTAGAAAAATAAAATATCAGGTTCATGTAAATGATGTTATAATATCAGTGAAAATAGGGAAAATTACAAATCTTTGTGAACATATTGGAATAAAATAAAATAATAAAAACTTAAATATAATACAAAATTAATAAAAGATAAAACTAAACATAATTGAAAACATAAATAATACAAAAGAAAAAAAAGTAAAAAAGATGAAAATGAAAAAGGCATCACATGGATACAACTCAAATAAATTCAAAATACTATAGAGAATCTTATGGATATTATGTGAATAATTAAAGGTACATAAATAACATAAATAGAAAATATTAATAAAAGATAAAACAAAGCATAAGGCAAAAAAATACATCATAGTCACATATATACTACGTGAACATCATAAAACATAGTATAGAACATCACATATATATTCTATTTGAACATCCATGTAACTCATAAAATATAGTAAATAAAAAAGTAACAAAATAAAATAAAATTACTAAACTAATTAATTAGATTAAAACAATAAATAAGAAAAAAATGTAGATAAAACATGAATAACCAATGGTAAATATATAGAAAAATTAATAACTTAAATATGGAAGGAAAAAAGAAAAAACGCATTACGCTAGGAGAACATGACATATACCTCATGCAACATATGAGATGAAAAAACTTGCAAACAAAAAAAAGTAAAACATAAAAATAATTACAACAGAAAATAATTATAGTCAAATAAAAATGAAAAACAAAATAAGAAATAAAATCAACATAATAATAGAAAAAATAAAATAGAAAAGTAAAGTAAATATAAGAAAAGAAAGAAAAATAAAAACATGGAAACATGAAAATAAAAATGAAATGAAGAAAAAATAGAGTAAAAGGAAAATGAATAAAGAAAGATAAAAAGATAAAGAAAACAATAGAATAATAAAATACCACAGAAAATAACTAATAAAAATAAAAATGAAAGGAATGAAAAAAAGAAAAGGTAAACGCACAATGAAATAAAACGTTGAAAAGAAAAACAAAAGAAAAAAAAACAAACGTACATAACTAGGACTACGTACGACCTTGAGGATGCGCGACCGCGTCACCGCGTGGGCCGTCGCACGCTCTACGTGGGCTGCGCTTCTGGGCTACCTCTGAGCCATCGCGTTGGCACTCGCAGGGGGACTGGGGGTGGTCGCGGCCTCGCGGGGATTTTGGATGTACTGGGGGCTTTAACGGCAGGTATTTTTCGCCACGTTTGTGGGCTGGCTGGCTGTGGCTTTGGCTCATTTTGATTCTTGAGCAGCTCGTGCCACGATCCGAGCCTGGGTTCATTATGGTGGCTCACTGCAATAAGCTGAACAGAAGCGTCGACTGCAATTCTCATTTGGTCACTACAGCTTAAGATCCTGGAAATAAACATAGCGTTGCACCTAACAGTGCTGCCAAAGAATGTCTTCCAATATATGCTAACCATTCGAATAGCAACTGTGAGACCATAAGATCATGCTTGCATAAAACTATGCTTCAGTGCATTTGAGAAAAATAGCAGTATTGTTTTAACACGAGTTAAAATTTATAAGTTATAACATATGGAACTTCACACTTTACGAAGCCAAAGGCAAGAAATCATTTGCTTTCATAGACGATAAGAACGTCATGTTACATGCCTAGTTGATATGCAAACACTTCTTGGACAAATTTGGTAAGGTAGCACATCTACCTCCATCTAATGGGAGAAAAGAGAAAAGGGCACAACATGGCAAGGTGTCATCAAAATTTGGATCACTTTCTTGCGCACAGGCACTGGGACAGAAAACTTGCCTACCACCAAACCAAAGGTTGGTTCTCATGGGACCAAGTTACCTGGATCAAAACTTCACTTCTTGAGAGGATCTTGTGTCAGCTAAACAAACTCCACAGTCCAGATTTCATTCATCTACCAACTACCATTCGTGACATTGCAGATCTGTCGGGTCCTAGAGATCCAAACCACACACCATCATCACCGTTCGGCAATCCTAACTGGACCATCCTCTCTGATGTACTAATCGAGCTTGACATCTGCAAGAATCTACAATCCGGTTTCAACTCAATACCGAACCCGACATTTCTTGGTTCTGGTGTTCTGCATTTGCATGTCCGAATGCTTCGCTGGCCGGTTCCTTACCTGCTTCTCCACACTCAAGAACATAACATTGACCAAAATGACAGTCTTCATAATACTCTGGCATCTCCACACTCAAGAACAAACATCAACGTCAAGGCAAGGGAGTAATCCAACGTCATGTTATAGGACCATGAATACGTCTGTGCAGGGACACATCAAAATTGCACAGGCCCAGCCAAAATATATAGGCTTTCAGCTAAAAAAGGAATGAGCTAAAGATTGATGCTCCCTGCTTAACTGGACAAACCATTCAGAAATCTGTTTCACTTGCACAACGAAGGGACCTGATAATTGTCTACTTTCAGTGGCAACAATTTTGTCAAATGGCAGTGGAAGGACGCTGACCAATGCACCAATGGCAGTAAACTGAACACTTAAACTCCATGATTTTGTAAAACTTGTCCCTGTTAACAATGATGATAATTTGTTCCTCAGCTTACTAACACTTCTATCCTCATAACCAACATCATCGACAAAGGACCTATAAATTGGGACATGAACAGAGCAGATCATACACATCAGGAACAAGTTTAGAAATACAAGTCAGTACAAAAGGTATACTTTGAACTTGCACGAAAATACATATAAAAGTAGACTGAAATCAGAACTCTATGCACATTCATGTACTCGTGCTTGATCCAAACAACAAAATGTACATTCATGGCAGAGGCCTACACATTTTACAGAATGTTGGTTTTAGCTTGGATGATGGAATACTGGAAATTAATAATATCAAATTTGCGGAATGGGAAAAAAGTAGTTTTCTTTTTTTTTTGAAAAAAAATGGCAGGAGCTCGGCCTTTCAATTAAGAGGGGAAACAGAGTTGATTATGTACAAACAAAACCAGGGCTAACACGCCCTGGGGAGCAGGAAAAGGATAGGCTCTCTCCAAACACTAAACCCCCTCTAGCCGAATGCTCTCCTTCTTTGCTCAATGTTGTCCTTGATCCTTGCTGCTACTTGCATCACTGATTCAGAGTTGTTGTTGAATATGCGCCTGTTTCTCTCTTTCCAGAGGTTCCAAAAGGTGTATAGGACCATGCCGTTGAAGTGTCTCCGCTCAGTTAGGGGCACTACGGTAACAGCCTTGTCCCACCAGGACATGATCTGTAAGGGGTCCCCCTGCTGCTGTCCTAGAGTAATATCAAAGTGTTCCCATGCAAGAATTTGCCTCCACACCGCCTTGGCATAGGGACAGCAGAGACAAAGATGAAGAAGTCCAGTCTCTAAGGGCCCGTTGCATAGAACACAATGTTCCTGATGTGGCCAGCCTCTCTTTTGCCAAGTTGTCTGCGGTTAGGAGTTTCCCGTGGATTAGAATCCAGGTGAAGACTTTGCACTTGTTTTCAGCATGTGCCTTCCAGATGCGATCCCTCGGGAATTTGGCAAAGGAACCACTGAATTGGATCCGATAAGCTGAGCGAGTTGAGTAATTACCATCTGGTGTCCATTTCCACGTGATGGAATCTTTGACGCCTTGGACCAGATGCACATCCTGGATCCTGATCCAAAGGGAGACAAACTCCTCAATGTGCGTGGCTGTGGTGATATGTCCCCTCAGAGATCGTATCCAATTGTTGTTGCGGAGCTCCTGCTGCACAGTTTTATTTTTCCTGCGGACCAGCATGAAAAGGTTTGGGGCCAGGTACTTGGGCGCCTCCCCATCAAGCCAATTGTTATGCCAGAAGCGAGCCTTTAGGCCATCACCTAAGGAGATTGTGGTTGAGGAGTTGAAAAGGAGACGGCCGACATCATTACAGGGAAGCTTCATTCCTGCCCAAGGTTTGGAGCCTTCTGTCCAATCCTGCCATAGCCAGCGAAGTCGGAGAGCGCGACCAAACCTTTCGAGATCAGGAACTCCTAAGCCACCAAGGTCTTTCGGGCGGGTGACCATTGGCCAATTTACTAGGCAATGTCCTCCATTTACATTCTCTTCCCCTTTCCATAGGAACGATCGCCTGATTTTGTCAATTTTCTTTTTGGCCCACGCTGCCAGCGGGAAGACAGTTAGGTGATAAGTTGGCATAGCCGAGAGGACTGATGAGACGAGAGTGAGGCGTCCTGCTCTGTTTAACCAGCGCCCCTTCCATCCAGGAAGCCGTTGTCTGATGCATTCGAGATCAAAGAGCGTGCCAAGGTCCCGGTGTCTTAGCCATCACATATCTGGAATTTTGCAATTGCCCTACAGAGAAGTTACCAAACAGCTATACTACATTATGATCTTTACGTTAGCCTGTACAGTGGAACAACTGGTAGAATAACCAGACCTAGCTTGTCATGTAAAGCTGTGTGTAGCACAGTTCATGATTGAAAAGCTTTTAGGACTTAGGAGTTGGTTCGATTAGTGATTTTATCCTAAACAATTTCTTATAAAAAAACACCAGTTTAGCAATTTAGGGCCATATTCACCCAAATCTCCATCCAGGATGAGAGATTTGAATGATTTGTTTCTGATTGCACAGGAATTCGTTGCTTGTTATATTGGTGCCTTCCATATATATGCTTCCTCTTATGGATATAGCATGATATGGCACTAACTGTAATCCTGTATGATTCTATTTGATATCTCTATATATAGGTGTCCCCTGGCCCCAGCCCCTTTGGGTGTGTGCGGCATTACCCCCCTCTCTTCCCACCCTCTCATTTCTACACAGGATTCCAGGTATAACAGAGTGCAACATAAAACACATGCACATCAAGAATTCTATGGTGGTAGATTCTCTGTTCATGCATTGGAAAATAAAACACAAAAAGAAAAAGCATGGAACAGTTCAATACAAGAGTATGGGCAACAGGGCAAACCTTCCAAGTTGGCTGACAAGTACTAACAGAGCAGCTGAATAGTCATGGCACATGCACGATTCCAGAATCTCCAGAAGACGGACAACGACATTGTTGTATGTCCACTCACAGCTCTAAAAATGGAGACAATATAATCAGTCGATACTGGAACACATCATATAAAAAGTTGACCCATAAAAGTCAGAACACAATTTGTAGCTGTGCATGGATGATGGTCATGCTCAACAAGCAAAATCCCAATTCCAAATATCAATGGCTTACAACCCAAAAAGTTATATTAGCACATCAAAATTTGTATGCATGTATACTTGGTGAAAAAACAAAAAATATCAAAGAGAACAAAAAATAAGCAGAGGTCACAGATGATCATACCATATAAATCCCAAAGAGCTCGAGCAAAGAAATTAGCTCGGTGAAGTAGCATAAGTTAATTGCTGCAGGGTAGTAATGAGTATCCTCAGATAGTTTTCCTTGCTTGAAGATATTACAAGTTTCACTACATCTGGTATCAAGTCCACTTGATCCCAAATGAGAACTGCACCTTGTGATAGTTTCATTTGAGCAGGCGTGGTTATTCCACTGAAGAGAACATAAATCCAGCTCATCCAATAGTGAAGAGATGAAACCATCTATGGAAACCGTATCCACATTAAACAGGCGATGTGCACAGGACGGTAATGTTGTTGGTTTATTTGACTGGATATATGATGACACAAAGGCACATAGAAGTGTCCTTGCTCTCAAGAAGCAGGACAAGTAACCGTATAGCTGTCATGAGAAAGTTGCAACTCTTTGGTGGGAGAAACTTATCACCACACATGGAGCCAAAGACATGGAGAGCTAGCAGAGTCCACAAAAGATTACTTTTACCCATCTGAAGAACTTTGTAAGAAACCTCTAATACAATGTCCACTCTGCCCACTTCCACACATATTGAAGCCAACAGAATGCAAGCCGCGATAAATTCATTTATTTTTGCAGGTTTAACAGATAGCTGTAAACCAGTTTCATCATCTAATTCATGATCTTTGCTTGCGCCAAAAACCTTCTGTCCCATTTTCTCGCAGACTACAACTTCTTTGTTCAGGAGAAAATCTTCAATTAAGGAGAAAAGAACATCCAGCTCATCTGCTCTCAGAATGGTCCACCTTGTTTCCATATGAGATTTCACTGCAAAGAAGAAAACAAATTGAAATTGTAACCCAGGAGTTAGCATATGATACTGATCAAAGACTATCAACAAATCAATATAATAGCTTTGTCAAAGCATACAATGAGTTAGTAGCAATGTTATTGATGTATAAACAAAAGCGCATTTGGTAGTGGTGAGGAAAGGTAGGAAAAACATCACATTCCATAATGTGTGCATCAAAGCAATTCTGAACTACGTAATAACATGCGCATGATAACAGGCCACTGATAGAATGCTACAGCTACATGACAAGCAAACCCTTCATAGACAACTAGTGGCCACATCTAAAAGGCATAGAAGCCTATGATCGGACATTTTTACTATTAATAACCAGAATAAAAAGAGAGGAAGTTTAACATACAAATTTTGGACAGAATCCGAGCTACAAAGATAGAAAGAAAGCAATTAAACTGTAAAAGACTTTTAGATGTCATACCACTCGATGAAAAAGCTGATGAGGCAAAATTTCCATCTGCAAAAGTTTCTTCTGTGAATCTAATATCCCACAACAAAAGGGAAAATATGAGGGAAACCTTCTCACTGCAAAAGAAATCAGATCATTTAGTTTTTATAAATTTTTTTTGCAAATGTTAGAGTGCATATAAAGCCTAAGTTAAACAAGTGCAAGCAAACCTACTCTGTAGGTAGCAAAGTGTCAGTTGACACTTTATCAAGCAATGGACCATCAACTGAAGCTTCGTTAGAATGCTTTTGGGATTGAGAACTCAATATCTCCCAATACCGAAATATGTTCATCATGTTGCTTCTTTTCATTCTTGTAAATCCAACTAAGTGCATTGGAGGTTTTTCAGATCCACAATGATGCCCAAGCAAACTATTAGAGACTGAATTGTATGGCTTGGTCACTGTTGTTTCACTTGTCCCAACATTAGCTTGCAGCCCAGGACTTGATGATTTGTCACAAAATTGATGTGAGCTGTTTTTGGTAGGCACTTCCTTGGACAAATGTATAATGGAATTTGAATGACCACTGCAGGTACTTCCTGATGACACTGGTCTGCTTATACTGTCTAATCCCTCAGCAGAAGATGCAACAGAATTCTGGACCACATCCTCATGCAAAAGGCTGCCTAAAAAAGCGCTCGTTGGCACTACGACCAAACTGGTGCTACAAGAAACATTGACAGCTGCATTGGATTTATCATTCGCGAAAAGGGGTTTAGCAATGCCACTACACTCGATTATATTTGACGATGGATCAAGCTGCATACAATTTTGAGTCGATTTCTGAATTGCAGGCTCTTTAACTTCTTTGGACCTTGTCTTGGAATCAATGGCATCAGATCCTAAGGCAGGACAATTGTTGAGAGATCTACCCGAACTGTGAGGTTCTGCATATGTAGGCACTTTAGTTCTACGGGGTCGGATAACGGTCAGGTTTGGTGAAAGGGGTCTCTCCTTTGCCTTTCTATACTTTTCCTCATCTGCATCATCATCCAAATTGAGCAACTTTAAGCAGTTTTCCCTGACCATTTCCTCAAAGGGGATCAATGAAGCAAACTTGCTACTAGCACAGCCATTTCCTCCACAAGAAGACACTTTAGAAGGGAAACTGGATGGAGGAGCTTTATCAGAGACAGCAAGATATTTTCTCCTATGATTTTCCATGTAACCTTCAGTCACACACATGGTGTTATTTCCTTGCTGCAGACACGAAGGATCATCCTCAAATGCTAATGCAACATTTGAAGTGGCAGCATGCACCTTTGGTTTCAAATGCAGCTCACTTTTAGAGGGAAGAAAAGCAGAGGGTTCTGGAGACCTTTTGGTCCTCTTTCTCTTCCTATCACCACCAAGTGTTTCTCTTTTATCTGTAACTTCCGTACCACAAGACAAGGGTATCCTCAATGCTTCTGGAGGCAATGTTCTATCATTACTAACTTTAGGAGGCAGCTCAGAAACAACTGAATTCTGTTTTTTTCTGATGTCTGTCGATGAGACAAATAGGCTATCCTTACCCTGTGAGCCCATGATTTTTTCATCAGATATGGATGTTGGACATAAAGATCTGTGCTGACTTTTTGACTTTGTTCTGTGAGAGCTACCAAGAGGGGACCCTAATTCAGAACTAGTACCTGAGATTGGTCGTGAGCAGCTTTCTCTGGGTAACTGATATGAAGTGTATTCACTTGGGATAGAAGAGCCAAATGGAACTATCCCAGACTGCAGCCCAAAATATGGGGCAGGAACTGAATCATTAGGAAGCAGCTTCTGTTCAAAGCCACGTATCTCCGGATGTTGATTCAACTGTAAATATGAGACAATGCCAATAATCACATCAGTTTATATAGATAGAACATAACAAGTATAAATGAACTTAAAAAAAACATATGCAATATATCAGGAACAAGATCAAAGAATACACGGGTCATATCTACTACAACATATAATTTATGAATTATAACTGCTCATTCATAGGCACTGTACAGTGATCTAGAGGGAAAACCAATAATGTGGCATTTCAATGCATATCAACATTACATTACATAAGTGATATATTAGTTTGACCCAGCATTCTATTTGCAGAAAACATAAACACAAAAAGAACATCATTTTTGCCATGTGAAGTCACAGCCCACCGGGGCAACCACAACATTAAAGACATCCCCTCTGTTTCACAAATTCTGACCACTATCTTGAGAATCACCCTTTTCGAAATGTTTGCCCTTTTAAAACAGGCGTGGCTACTGCAATATTTCCCCTCTCTAATAATATAAAGCAGGTTGAGTAGTTTTATTTTCCGGGCTGGTGCCACATTGTCCGCGTGGTGAAATATCATGGAGTGCTCGACTTAAAAGTTACACCCTTTTACCTAAGAGTCCCAAATTTTCTATTTTTATAGGGTTTTTTTTGTGTAGTAACCAGGGAAAAAATCGCAGAAATGATGATACTATCATCGGACTAAAGAAGTAGCATGATAAATTTCTGCAAAAGTGTGTGGAAACGGCCAGCTTCCTAAAGAAATGACTATACTATGAACAGAAAATCATCAGCATGAAACAATGACGTATAAAATACTTTAATGCAATAAGATTTTTTTAGTATGATCTAGCAGGCTATATGGAATTAGATGAGAAAAAAATAATCTTATTGACCACCCCAAGTACGAAACGACATGGGTTAGTGATCAGAAAGGTAAGCATTTACTCGTGGTACTTGCAAGCACACACTTATGACGCTTTCCCTACTCATACTTTGAAAAACAAAGAAGTTTTTTTAAGACAAAAATGAAGACTGAGAAAAGGTGCTATTTCAGAAATGGAATGACTGCCCCCTATGATTTCATTAACAAATCATTTTTTATTAGTATTAGAAGAAAGAAAGTCCATGAACAAATGCCTAATTGCATAGAGATGAAGAACAGTTCATTGTTCTATGAGGATGTCAGAACATTATTACCTATTGCTAAGAAATTCTTGTTTTTCCAAAAATTACCTTCGCAAACATAGATGAAGACAGTAATAACTAGAATGCAGGATACAGACCTCTGTTAAGACATGAATACCTTCAACACCGCGAGCAAGGTGGTCATCCAGCATGTTAAACCGACTCAGTAGCTGCATCCAGTCTTGCTTTAAACGTTGAAGCTCTCTTCTTATTAAAGCAGTTTTTGCTTTATCTAGTTTGGACACATTCTTTACATGCTTTAGTTGTCCTTTCTTCAGCTTAAGCTTCTCTTTGAGAAGCTTTACAGTTGCACTCTCAGAAGTTCTATCAACATGTCGCTGCCCATACTTGCCAGAAGAAATTACATCTCTGCCTGCAGAGAGTTCATTTGTCTTTCTCTGTAAATATTCAGTCTGTTTTCTCACCTCTTCTAATTTCTGGAACAATTGGTCTGCTCGTTTTTTCTCTTCTATTGCATTCTTTGTTTCAACCTGTATGCTAGTTCGCAAACGTTCATTGAGTTTCTTCTGCTCCTCTAACTTTGCAAATAAATTGTCAGCACGGCACTTCTCTTCCGTTACTTTTTTCTTCTCAACTTCAATAAGTGTTTTGTTCTTTTCAGCTAATGATTTCTCTGAATCAGCACGTTTCTTTTCTCTGGCTACCTTTTGCTTCTCCATTTCAACCCTTTTAAGCATTTCTTCTGTTTTCTGAACCTGAGCAGTTAACTGTGCTCTGATTTCATTTGCTTCACTCCTCAACCTTTCACATGATGCTCTCCAATCATTGGCAACTTTTCTCTCCGTATCAGCAACTCTTCTATACTCTTCAGACTTCTGTGTTTCTGACTTCAATATCCTTTGCATTTCTAGAGTTTTGCACTTTTCTTCTTCAAATTTTTTCTTCTCAGAAGTAATCTTCTTCCTTTCTTCTCCTAAAACATGTATGAGCTTTCTATTTTCTTCCTCCAATTCAGAGATGCGTAAAGGTTCATCATTATTTTTGCAGGTATTTTGTGTTTGCTTCAAACTTGAGTTCTGTGTCTTTAATTCAATTATCTCCTTTTCCAGTAGATCTCTGGCATCAGACTCAGTTGCCCTAGCTGCTTCTGCTGAATCACCTCGGAGGCGTTCCTCCTTGCACACTATTCATCAAAGAAAAAACAGAGAATGCAGCATTAAAGCATGATACACATAAGACTGGTTTCATGATGTATGCATGAGACACATAACTGTTCATCAAGAATTACATATGCTTTAGGTAGGTGCCATCAAATCACGTAATCAAGTGTTTTAGAGTGTACTACAGTAAGGGTAAAATTGGGGGGGGGCTAATAGATGCTAACAAATAAAAGATGCATTGAAGAGAAATCAAACATGATGTTAACAAATACATGAAGCATTAATGAGAAATCAGACATAGGGGGTGTTTGGTTCTTTAGTCGCTCCTAAAATTCATGTCACATCGAATATTCGGATGCTAATTAGGAGAACTAAATATGAGCTAATTATAAAACTAATTACACAGATGGAGGCTAATTCACGAGATGAATCTATTAAGCCTAATTAATCCATCATTAACACATGTTCACTGTAGCATCATATTGTCAAATCGTGGACTAATTAGGCTTAATAGATTCGTCTCGCAAATTAGCCTCCATCTATGTAATTGGTTTTGTAATTAATCTATATTTAATACTCCTTATTAGTATCTAAACATTCGATGTGACATGAATTTTAGGAGCTACCTAAAGAACCAAACAGGGCCATACTTTGAAAGACATCTTCTCTGTGATAGGCACCTTCTGTTAAAATTCCTGCTAGCATGCTACTAGCATGCTATGAAATTAGAATTTAGAGCATTAGATACTTCATAGAAGTAGTTTTTTATAAGAAAAAAGTTTGCCTTTCTTTGAGTGCAGCCTAGGTATGAAAAAGAAAGAGCCAAAATACTTGCCTTTCAGCACAAATCACAAAAATCAACAGTATAACTACACAAAATGTAGGTCAAGAATTACTAGATATAATGCATACAGTCTAAACATGTGCATTACCTCTGCATACTTAGGGTGATCTTTTCTTTCTATTTGTAACCAGAATCGTAATGCAGGAAAAGAAAACAAAGAAAGCAGCACACTGGGAAAAGAAATCAGGGAACACATTAGGAACCTTTGCTGAGCTCCGAGTTCTCCTTCTGCAGCTTCTCGTTCTCGGCCTGCAGGAGCTTCACCGCCTCCCGCAGCGCCGTCCGGCTCGTCTCCAACTTCTGGTACTTCTTCCACAGCTGCGGAACCCAAACCCCAAAAGAAAATACCCCAGAAAAGAAGGCACGTCAAGAACGGAAAAGACAGGATGCGGCGTAATGGTGAGAAGAGGGAGGGTCAATTACCTTCGCGCAGCACGGGTTGGGGCCGCCTACGCCGGCTACGGCGGCCGCGGCGGAGGAGGAAGAGGCCGCGAGCTGAGCATCCTGCGAGGAGGCGGGCTCTGGCGGTTCCCCCGCCATGGCGTGGCGGCGAGAGTCCGATGGAGAGGAAAGGTTTAGGGTTTGAGCGGTGCGGGACCGGATCGGAGAATCTGGAAGCGGAGGCGGTGGAGCCCGAAGAGGTAGCCGTTGGACCGACCTCAGCCTTGGTTCCAGAAGCGGGTGAGTGGGCCGACTTTTGGCCCTGTTTGGAGCCGCTTCTTGCACAGTCGCTCGAGAGGCACTGGCGCCGCCGCCTCCGCGATCCTCCTCTGTCGCCGGGCTCCTTCTCCCGCGCGCCGCCGCCGAGCTCCTTCCCCACGACGGCGCTGCACTCCCCACGCAAGGCCGCAACAGCCAGGCCTGACGAGGATCGAACCCGGGTTGCAAGTTGCAACGCCACAAGGCCCCTAAAAAAGGAAAATAAAAAAGGAAGAAAAATAAAAAAAGGAAATGGAACAAAAAAGGAAAATAAAAAAGGAAAAAAATAAAAAAAGGAAATGGAACAAAAAAGGAAAATACAAAAGGAAAAAAAGGAAGAAAAATAAAAAAGGAAATGGAGCAAAAATAAAAAGCGCCGTTGCCGGGGATCGAACCCGGGTCACCCGCGTGACAGGCGGGAATACTCACCACTATACTACAACGACCCAGATGACTAGCTAGATATATTTTATTTATTTGAGGTGAAGATAAAAGTGAGTCCTCCAAGTGCCAGCCAATTTCAAAATTTAATTGAATATATAAAATATACTGATGTTTATGCTACCAAATAAATATGGATGTTATTTTTTTATAAATTTAGTCAAGCTTCAAATTAGTTAACTTATAAAATAGGAGATGTGCATTTATTTTGGAGTGAGTATCTAACAAAAACTTTTGCCGCGATGTCTCCGTGCTGATCCACCACGAGCCAAGACAAAATCGCTTGCCAGGTGGTCCGCGAAGAACAAACACGTCACACATGAAAAGTCTGTTCCAAAGGATCTGAGTGGATGGGTGGAGACGGCTGCACTGCACACCGTCCAGCACTGGGATTTGTTAGTCGGAGACTCGGAGTCGGAGAGGAGCACCGAGCACTCGGCCAGCGTCGCCTCGTCGACCTGCAGCCTGTTCGGAACGGTTCTCTCGTTCGTTTCTGGTTCACGAGAAAATATCGTTGGTTGATTTGTGTGAAAAAAAAATATTATTCATATATGAAAACACTGTTTATATGAACAGTGTTCGTATGAGAGGGCTGGCTAGTACCAGCCAGCCGAACGGGCTGCTGGTCACTCAAGGTGGCAGTGTGCCACAAAGCCGAAGGGCTAGGACAACTCTCTCTGTACGTGCGGCGCGCAGTATTCAAATGCACGCAAAGCTAGCAACCCCGCCACTCGTCGCGCCCCCACGGTCCACGGCCCGAGCTCTCCCGATGATAAACCACCGTGGCTCGCAGCTTCGGATCTCGCTACCCGCATCACCACCACCACTAGCACACTCTCCGCCTCCGATGACGCAGACCCCCACGCCCACGGCCGCGGTGGCCACTGCTGCACCGGGGCCCGAGCCCGCGCCGGCGGCGGCGGCGGAGCTGCCGGACGCCATCGCGGCCGCGCTGCCGCCGGACCCGTACGAGCAGCTGGAGGTGGCGCGCAAGATCACGGCCGTGGCCGTGGCGTCCCGGGCCTCGCGCCTCGAGCTCGAGGCCGCGCGGCTACGGCAGAGGCTGGCTGACAGGGACCGCCTCGCCGCCGAGCTCGCCGACAGGGCCGCCAAGCTCGAGCTGGCACTCCGCGACGCCGACGCGCGACTCCGTGCCGCGCTCGACGACAACGTGAGAGTTCATATCATCCTCCACCTCGCGCTCTCGATTGGCTGCTTGCTGCTTTGTATTTTGTTGCTTTTTTAATTTGGCGGTGCCTTGGCGTCTTGTTGCCTGCTTACTGATAACCGGTGGTTGATTTGGATTGCGATTGCTGGCGTGGGCGAAGGCCAAGCTGGTCAAGGAGCGGGACTCGCTCGCGCAGACGTCCAAGAAGCTGGCCAGGGACCTCGCCAAGGTGATTGCCTTTTGTGATGTGATCCAGATCAGTGTACTTCAGCTAGTCAGCTGTAAGCTCACATTAGTTCTTTGTTTCTTCCTCTCTCTCTCTCTCTCTTCTATTTCTTTTAACTGACATACAGCTGGAAACCTTCAAGCGGCATCTGATGCAATCGTTGGGCGATGACAATTCCCAAGTGAGTTGATCCTCCTCTCTGCAGTCCATTGAGCACTTTGTACAATTTTGGGTGTCAACAACTAAACATATTGGTTTGTGCTAACTGCTAAGCATTACGGCAAAGATCATTTTCATTGCCGATGTCCTCATGTTCCGTGCCCCTTATCAGATTCAGGAAACAGTAGACATAAGAACCTGCGAGCAATCGGTGGCAAAAGCGAATTCCTGGAAAGGTACTGTCTGTCCCTTGCACAACGTCTAGTCTACTTGCGGTTGCACTGTCTTACCACTCTGTTTTGTTCATATGGTGTCATACCATTTGTCCATCTCTGTATCCTTTTCCTTTCTGAAGATGGACTAGAGAACAGCCATCCAGCATCCTCTCTATCCGACGAATCCAACGAAGCCGAAAGCATAAATCAGGAAGGCAAGACACGTGACCACGACATGCATCTTCACAATCTTGCAAGTCTTTTTCGACAATAGCTTCTGATGCTCCTTTGGCCTGTGTCCTGTACGCTTTCTTGGAACAGTAACGAGGCCATTCGAGCAGAAACTGACCATCACGCAGATCACTCCACGCCTCACTTCGGATCCTGCGACGAAGCTGAGAACCGCCGCAACAACATCTCCGAGAAGGTACTCCACGGCGGTGTCGCCCAAACTGGCGTCCGGCGCCACCTCGCCGCGATTGGACGGCCACATGGCGATGTCGCCATGGCTACCCTCCAGCAAGATGTCCTCTGCAGCCAACTCGCCTCCTCGTGGACACTCTACCTCAGGTAGTGCTTGTGAGTTGTGAGAGCATTCAGATCCTTAGTGGCACACGAGGCAATCCATTAACATTTTTTTCCCCTGACATTTTCTCGACGAACTCTGAATCAGGACGCGGTACAAGAGTAGATGGCAAAGAGTTCTTTCGTCAAGCAAGGTATGCTTGTCCCCATGCTTGCCCTGGTATATGTCCCGTACTTCGTAGAAAAATACCATAACTAGTTGAATTCACATCCCCAGAAGTCGCCTGTCATACGAACAATTTGCGGCTTTTCTTGCCAATATCAAGGAGCTCAACGCCCATAGGCAATCTCGAGAGGTGGGAAGCTTTTGACCCAAGTTTCAGTTTTCAAAAGATTTTGTTCACAACTTCAGGCGCCGAATTGTTGATATTCGCGTACACTGTTGTGCTGCAGGAGACCCTGAGGAAGGCGGATGAGATCTTCGGTGCAGAAAACAAGGACATCTTGAGGTCGTTCCAAGGGCTGCTTAGCCGCAGCCTATCGTAGTAAAAAAAGAGAAGAGCTTGGTAATCCTATCTATTGCTACTCGTTGTTACGGTTGTTCATGATTCATGAACAGGGCAGTCAGCAGGTATACACTTTGTGTAGAATAAAACGATGTGGACCATACTAAGACGTGCAGATTGCACTATAAAAATTGCATACTAGGATGCATCAAAATCAGGTAGTAAGTAAATCTTCTTTCTGCTCCAGATTTTGCCTGAAAAGAGTGAACATTTCCAGGTATAAACACTGGACACCACCAAATCAATACAAGCTGGACCGATCAAACCAAACACAGTAGAAAAGCTAGAGGACAACCTACATCAAACAAAAAGATCAAAAGAATCCAAATTCAAACAGCCATTGCATGCTTTCATTTATCTCCTTGTGACCGCTTAAATCACCTGCACAACGAGAATTACCAGAGTTGGCAATCAATAACTGAAACCGCACATGAAGAATTTAACACCTGGATATGAAGTACTGCTTGCAACTCTAATTGTACGGATAGTGAATGCATCCGACACAGTTCTGAAGTCAGAACGGTAAGAACTGCATAACCTGTAGCTAAAAGCAGCGAATTTCAACCTTCCTAGGTCTATATAAGACTAACTAAATTGTTAAGGTGTAGAAGCATCCAATCCACAGGGAAAAAAACATCCTCCACCATAACCAGACGGCCTTATGTACAAGGCAGAGCATCCAGGGAAAATTTGAGCTGTGTTTAGCATATTTCAGGATCATGTACAAGGGCTTTAGCTTGTGCTACAAGCTGCACTGACGGCTTTACTCGGGAAGTGCATGTAACTGTAAAGTGGCTGTACGAAAGGATGGCTGTCGATGTCCTTGAGCTTGTGTTACCATTCTTCTTTTCACTGCCTCTTGGCTAGCGTCTTTTTAAGGCCTCTCAAGATCTTCGCAAACCACATTATGTTCATGACAAGCAGTATTGTGGGCACAGAAAATACCAGAATGCAGCTAAAGGTATGCATCTGCTTGACCTGTCAAAATAGAATATACAAGATAAGTTTATTGTCAAACAGATTTAGCTTCAAAATCATCGGTGAGATATTGATGTGTACCCTAGTTTTTATGTGACAAGAGAAAAATACCTGATCATAGTGGAAGTAGATGTGGTAAAACAAGTAGACGAACAAAATTATCCGTGCCACCTGCATGAAGCAATTGGATCTCCACAATTAGAGAGAAAATAATAGAAAGTCACTAAGCAGTACAAGAACGACTGGCACTGATTAGGACAAATCAATTAAACACAGCTACCAGTTGTTAGCATTCATATTTCTAATTGAAAATAATCATACTGAAGCACAAAGCGAAATGGGAATGAGAAATGTATATAAAATATCCTCGAGCCTCATATAGACCAAGAGAGATGGGAAATGTTTAGTGAAGTATAGATACACAGCATTATATTAAAGCATATTAGAATATTCTATGACAAATAGCAGATAATGTGTTCTTCATAACTTAAAGCATGAAATTACATTGTAGTAACATACCAGCCATGCAACAAACATCGTAAAACCATTGACAAGATAGGCCT